CATAACATAACCCTTAGGAACAACAGGTAATACATAATCATTGGGGGGACCTTCATCATCACTATCATCAGTAATAGGATCTTCAGTAATTTCATTCCCCCTAAATCTAGAAAGTTGTTCATCTAGAAATTCACCTAATCGCATAGTAGTATCACGCACAGAAGTAGTTTCATCATGCATGGCAGAGGTGGCATCATCAATAACATGCAACATATTAGAATTCATAGCAGTAGCAGGTTTAGGTGTTGCAAGCTTACTAATAACGGAAGGAGAATCTAGTGCAGAGCTAGATGGCAGTTCCTTACCTCCCCTCGTAGTTGAGGGAAAAATATTAGTTCGATCGTCTTTCAAGTTCTTCATAGTGATCAACAGATATAAATCCCAAGTGACTCAGAGAATAGAGCTATGCTCCCCGGGAACGGCGCCAGAAATTAGTCTTGATAACCCACAAGTATAGGGGATCGCAACAGCTTTCGAGGGTAGAGTATTCAACCCAAATTTATTGATTTGACACAAGGGGAGCCAAAGAATATTCTTGAGTATTAGCAGTTGAGTTGTCAATTTAACCACACCTGGATAACTTAGTAACTGCAGCAAAGTGTTTAGTAGCAAAATTGGTATGATAGTAATGGTAACGGTAGCAAAAGTAAAGATAAATGTTTTTGGGTTTTTGTAGTAGTTGTAACAGTAGCAACGGAAAAGTAAATAAGCGAAGAACAATATGTGAAAAGCTCGTAGGCAATGGATCAGTGATGGATAATTATGCCAGATGCGATTCCTCATGCAATAGTTATAACATAGGGTGATATAGAACTAGCTCCAATTCATCAATGTAATGTAGGCATGTATTCTGTAAATAGTCATACGTGCTTAAGGAAAAGAACTTGCATGACATCTTTTGTCCTACCCTCCCATGGCAGCGGGGTCCTTACGGAAACTAAGGGATATTAAGGCCTCCTTTTAATAGAAAACCGGAACAAAGCATTAGCACATAGTGAATACATGAACTCCTCAAACTACGGTCATCACCGAGAAGTATCCTGATTATTGTCACTTCGGGGTTGTCGGATCATAACACATAATAGGTGACTATAGACTTGCAAGATAGGATCAAGAACACACATATATTCATGAAAACATAATAGGTTCAGATCTGAAATCATGGCACTCGGGCCCTAGTGACAAGCATTAAGCATAGCAAAGTCATAGCAACATCAATCTCAGAACATAGTGGATACTAGGGATCAAACCCTAACAAAACTAACTTGATTACATGGTAAATCTCATCCAACCCATCACCGTCCAGCAAGCCTACGACGGAACTACTCACGCACGGCGGTGAGCATCATGAAATTGGTGATGGAGGATGGTTGGTGATGACGACGGCGACGAATCCCCCTCTCCGGAGCCCCGAACGGACTCCAGATCAGCCCTCCCGAGAGAGATTAGGGCTTGGCAGCGGCTCCGTGTCATGAAACGCGATGAAACTTTCTCTCTGATTTTTCTCTCCCCGAGACGGTATATATGGAGTTGGAGTTGAGGTCGGGAGGTGTCCAGGGGGGCCACGAGATAGGAGGGCGCGCCCTAGGGGGGCGCGCCCCCCTGTCTCGTGGACAGCCCGTGGGCCCCCGGCCTTGATTCTTTCGCCAAAAATTCTTATTAATTCTGAAAAGTGCCTCCGTGGATTTCCAGGACATTCCGAGAACTTTTCTTTTCTACACATAAAACAACATCATGGCAGTTCTGCTGAAAACAACGTCAGTCCGGGTTAGTTTCATTCAAATCATGCAAGTTAGAGTCCAAAACAAGGGCAAAAGTGTTTGGAAAAGTAGATACGTTGGAGACGTATCAGGGGGCACCGATGAGTACCTTTGAGTCGTACCCTAGCATCCCATACTTTGGAGTTGTGGAGAAGTCAAAACTCCACCCGTGTTGTCATGGGAGAGACTGTATGCTTGGGAGCCACTGTCAAGCCCTAGGCCGATAGGCCCAATATACCCTAGTTCCTGTTGGTCCGACACATACTTGTAATCGTGTATCACATTTGACATCTATTGTAAGACATATTATCAATCAATCAATCTTCATGATGTGTTCTTCAATGAATTCTTCGTGTATAGTCAAGGCAGGTAGAAAATTCCTATGACATGGGAAAGATATTAACAAGCAAGGTAAATGCTTGGTCAAATGGGAGATTGTGTGTCTCCCAAAAGAGGTTGGTGGCATGGGAGTCTTGGACTTAATACAACAAAACAGGGCACTCCTAATAAAAATGGTATTCAAATTCTTCAATCACCAGGACATTCCATGGGTGGAACTAATTCGGAAACCTTACTATGATAACCATTTTGTGCCTAAAGAGAATTCAAATGTTGGGTCCTTCTGCGGAAAGACTGTTGCAGACTCTTTCCTGATTTCAAGAGCATGACCCCTATCCAGGTAAATCATGACAACACTGCCCTATTATAGCACGACAAGTGGTATGACAGACCGCTAGAACTCAAATTCCCATAGCTTCACTCTTTTGTCTGATGAGATTATTGTTACAAAAGGCCCATGAAACAACACAAGAAGACACCTATGACATGTTCCATCCGCTCTTGTCTAGAATGGCAATGGAAGGAGTTTGCACACATTATTTCCAACATGATCTAAATAATTGTCTGGATACTTGGAAATATCATGGCCAAGCTGTTATAAATTACAACATGAAAGTATATAATGAGCTGATTGGAAACCCAGTAAAGTCACTTGAAACATTTCATTTGATTTGGAAATCTTGTTATCTTTCTAAATAGAATTTCTTTTTCTAGCTCCTTATACTGGACATAATAAACACAAGGAAGATGCTAATGAGGAAAAACTTTCATTTGGATTGGTACAGTTGTGTATTATGTGGTGATAATCATATTGAGGACCCTAGGCATCTGTTTTTCAGTTGTGACTTTAGCCAAATTTTTTGGCTATCCATTGGTATGGAGTGGAATACTGACTATATGTTATCAATATGTTGATTGATGGCAAAAGCATAATGAACCCTATATGTTTCAAAGAAATCTTGATCACTAGATGTTGGAGCATATGGAATCGCAGGAATGGGATTATTTTGAAAACCAGCAGCTATGTATGAACCATACGTGCTTTCAAGGATACCTTTCAAATGGTCATGGTGAGAGCCAAACCTAGTTTAAAGGATGACATGCAGGAATAGCTTGATACATTGCAAACTCGTTGTAACAGCTTTGTAACACCCCAACCATTGTAAGTACCCATTATTAATAGAAAATGAGACATAGTAGGGGCCTTCCCTACTGTATTATGGTCAAAAAAAGATGGTACAGCAGCATGAGGTCGCACAGGTCCAACAAGTGGGAGCGCTTACGACTTTGGCGATGAATATGGTTTTGTTTTGGTAATGTGTCAAGTGTTTCAGTAAGCAGATAAACTTGATGTTCCTTTCTTATGATTTTCTTACAATAAGCACATGAAATTGATGTCCCTTCGCTTGTAACAAACAATTTGTGTAATTAAATAAAGTCATCATTAGAAGAAAAAAACTAGTGTGATTTCAATTTAATTTTATCTTTTACTGGTAATTCATGTCCCGTTCGTTGTTTTCCCATTGTACTAGTTTTTTTTTGTTTTTCTTGGTAATTATCAGAATTTTCTTTTACTGGTAATTATCAGATTTAAGATGCCCTTTGGTGTCTTCTATAAAGAAAAGAGTTACGATGGACAATCATCTGCTCGGTTGCGCGAAGAGTCATGTTTGTAGGTTAACAGGAAGAGTTTCGACATAATATTCTTATCATGCTTCCAAGTTATTTTTATTCATGAAAGAAAAAAGGAATGATTTTTTGAGTAAACCATATGTGAAGGAATTTCAAAAAATGTTAATCCATGACCAATACTAAAAAAATGCATGAAAATTATTTGATGAAAAAATGGTACCTTTGTTTTAGAAAATGAATATATTTGTTTAGGGGAAATAACATGCATATATATGACCAATATTTAAAAAAACATTGATTTCATGGCGCGTTTCCAAAGCCCGGCCCAGCTCGCTTAGTTGGGTTTCACCTTAGGCCTGTTGTTTGCGAAAAGAAAAAAACTCGGCCCTCTCCTGTCCTCTTGACGGCCGCAATTTCTTGATTATTAAAAAGAAAAGACTGCCGCAACCGCAATCCCTAGTCCTCCCCCTTCCTCCTCTCTCGTACCACACTCTCACGAGCGCCGCCTCCGCCGCCGCGGCATATCCAGCCTCCTGCGCCGACCTCCCAAGTGTCTACGCTGGATCCGTCGACCCGAAGCACTTGTAAGCAGTTTAAGACTCGAGCCCTCTACTATTGGTTAACGGGTTGCCAAGTCGATTGGGGTTTTTTCAGCCGTGCGTGCTTGCGTTGATTTGCTTTGCTTGCCTCGATGTAGCTGTCCCGTTGCCGCATCCTGTTTTCAGCTGATTTTTGCGTTTTTCAGTCTTCCTATATCATGATGTTACCTACCTGCTGTCTGCTGAGTCTAAAGCCCTGTGACTGTGAGCTTCATGGAGGGGAGCTAAAAACCTAAACTTGTACTGTACAAAGTTTACTAGAAGCAATACAGACCGATCCTGGCCCAGATGGGCTGCGTCCCTAGTGTGGGGGTAGTAATGCTGTATAGTAAGATGGGATTGCAGCAGATTCTCTAGTTCAGTTCTGCTTTCTATCTTGCCTATCGGGCTCAAATGTCTGTGTTATTTTTACAAGTCGAAATGTATATAACCATTTTATAAGTGATGGGTAGAATAAAATTGCTCCTGGAAACGATTAATGATTCCGTGGGTGTCCAGCAAAACTTACAACTGAGTGCTATAGTTGGTTTCTGGCTTTGCTTTGCAAGTTTTATGAATAATTCTTGGTGAGTTAAATCTCATGTGCTTGTCTTTTTTTGTTGTTGTATGTTTTTCTTATCGTGCAGATTCACGTGACGTGTTACAGAATATAAACTAGAAGTGTGTTGCCATGGCTCAGGTGAATGTATTATCCTTTTCTTTATTTTGTGTTCTCTGCTTTAAATCAATTTTTCTGACATCAAAGCTAATGTCTAATACCTGGTTGTTATGTTTTAGGATGCTGTCGCTCTTAATGGACTGAATTACGAGAGTCATATGCAGTTTAGGAGGTCCGTCGTACCGATTCTTATATATCGTCGTCAACAGAAAGAGGAACAGGAACATGAAGGAGAAGAGGAACAGGAACCAGAGCCGGAACCAGAACCGGAACAGGCAAATCCAAATGACCCAATTTCTGTTGTTCCGGGCATAGTCACTGTCGCTGGTGAGACATTTTGCCACATCATAGCAAATAAGAGATTGCTTTTTACCCGTCGTCGAGGCAGGTATAGATTTGAAATTGCTTTCCCCAACATGAACTTAGACCTTGACAACCTCAATGTGGAAAGACATGGTTTGTTGGCTGCTTTCTACTGCCCTGTTCCTGCTGGAATTGTAGATGCCGTGCATTTCAGCAATCAAACTGCACAGAACCAAAAACTTAAGATGTATGGATATCAGATTAGTGCATCAGGACAAGTACAAAGGGATCTAACTAATGGCTATCTGACGTAAGTTCTTTGTACGATGTTATTGAGTTGCTAATGTTTTTTGCTTTGTTTTTATCCTAATATATCTATGTACATAGTCACATAGGGAACCGTGTGGGGCAAGAATACATCGGACATGATTGTACTCCTTCAAAGTTATCGCTAAGTGGGTCACCCATTTTTAATGAGGAAAGACAGCTCGTTGGTATATCATACGCGGATTTTGGTATAACCAAGGCCTTGAATGTGGAGAATATAGCTTCCATGCTTTCAGAGTTTTATGATGGAATGGAGAACAGGGTATTGTATTTTGTTGTATCAATTTAATGTGATGTTATTATGCTTTCTATGCTTATTTCTTTTATGTTTTGTTTCAGCCTATGTCAGATATCTTACAACGTATCAGAGATGTTGGTGAACATCAATTTGTTCCGCCTGCGGATCATATGACTTGATGGTAGGCATAGCATTCTCATTCCAGTATGCATAATCTCTGCCCATTGACTTACTTTGACATTGTCTGATCATCATCTTGTAGGGCCTTAGTGTGAACTTGAAGGAAGGAAGTTAGAACATTGGTTTTGTTTTCGTTGTTTACTCGGTTTGTTACCTAGCTTTAGCTTCTCATTGACTGTTCCAAGTAGTCTACATGTGCAAACACTGTATGTGCCATTTGGTTGGTGGTGTTTCCCTGCACGCAACAGAACATTCTCTTCAGTCCGTAACTCTGTGTGCCTGTTGTGATCCAATCTGACGAAGTAGCTTACATTTGAGATCCAGTCTGATGAGTAGTGTGACAATGCGATGTCTTGTTATTGTGAACTGAGATTATCCAAATCCAATCAAGTTTTGATGTGATCCACAGGGTTTCCTTTTCCTTTTGATTCATTGTTGGTTTTGTGGTGGTTTCTTTTCCTATTTACTTGGATATCTGAATTCTCTGGAGATTGTGTTGGTGCTGCTGCAAGAGGACACTAAGAAATAATCTACTGTGCAAGATTTTTATTGTCCTTTTAGACTAGGAAAAACATGATAAATTCTTATCTTTGTGATGGGTACCATATATTATTAAAAAGAAGATCAAAAATAGGCATACACATGGGACACACTTGTCTATATTTAGGTAGGCATGTTGAGCTCACTTGGGAAAAACCATTGCCTAAGTGCTAAACCAGTGCTCTGGGTCGCAATATCTGATATCATCCTCATAGATGCTGAATAAGTGGTGAAAACTGAGATGATGTTATTGCTGAAATGCATGTTACTCCTTATGTTATCAGACCTGAGTACGAAGCAAACGCTAATTTCGATCTTCAGGGGCGGTACCCCTGGTACCATTCTCATTGAAAGCAACACTAGTAGGATTATAAATAACTAATCCAAGTGGCATCGAACCTCACACAGGGCACAATCTATTCGACAGGGTGTCGCGTTAAAGGCAAGAGGCGCTGATTTTTTGAGTTTGCGCCAAAGTGCTGTGCCTTTGGATGGAGCCTATCTGCATCCATGTTGATCAAAGTAGAATGGAACTACTTTCAGGACAATGCAGGGCCATCTGCAGGCACCATCTTGCCAGGAGCGATATGTCCTAGTCGTTGTGTCAGAATTGTATCGACATTTCTTATGACAAGTGTTAATGAATTTACAGACATAAAACACAGTTTTATCAGCCTGAACCGAACCCATCTCTTAATAGACCTAGTTTGGCCTTAGTACAAGTCCATTACATAAAGAGGCATGCGTACACTAGTATTTCAGGGTTCAAATTAAGTTACAGAACAATTCATACTTGCTATACAGGGCCGGCAGCTTGAGGGCAAGATAGAAAGCATTCATCGAGATACAGTTCATCACATTAGTATTGTTCCCGCTGGTACTTAAGTTCTTCCTCCAGATCTACTTCTTCCTCAAGCTTGTGCCATGTCGGATAGCACCAAAACGGCTTAGGCACGGGCCATCTGTTAAGAGTAACACATGGATAAGCTGCTGAATAATACTCCTTGTTTGGAGTATATATCTAGCAAAAGGTCTTATTGAATGCGTAATAAATAAACAATACCTGTTTAGGCTATGATCATCGTTGACAGCAACATACCTACAAACAGACCGAAAATAGTTTTAACATACAAGAACATGTTAAATAGCTAAACAAACACACACACGCGCGAGAGAGAGATCAAAACCATTGCAACATCAGTTTACTGCTACATATGTCTGAACATTAAGAGGCGAAACGGTTCAACCGCAAAAGATTAGACTTGAAAACTGGCACGAGTTCAAAATAAAAAGTAACCTCAAAACAACAACCAAAACTGACCAAGATTTTGCCACTATAATTCCAGGTTAGAGTGATGCTATGAGACATAGGATACAATACCTCAACAGTTACGCAATCACAGGATGGTCTTACCGTATGTTATTTATCTTATTATGCACAAGAGTTCTATTCCAGGTTATAGTTAATGTGATCAGTTATAGAAGATCAAAATGATAACAGATGTCCTATCGAGGCAAGTAAACTTTCAAGCTTGAATATTATGCACATGAAAGACGTTTGCATACAACAACAACAACAACAACAACAACAACAACAACAAAGCCTTTAGTCCCAAGCAAGTTGGGGTAGGCTAGAGGTGAAACCCATAAGATCTCGCAACCAACTCATGGCTCTGGCACATGGATAGCAAGCTTCCATGCACCCCTGTCCATAGCTAGCTCTTCGGTGATACCCCAATCCTTCAGGTCTCTCTTAACGGACTCCTCCCATGTCAAATTCGGTCTACCCCGTCCTCTCTTGACATTCTCCGCACGCTTTAGCCATCCGCTATGCACTGGAGCTTCTGGAGGCCTGCGCTGGATATGCCCAAACCATCTCAGACGATGTTGGACAAGCTTCTCTTCAATTGGTGCTACCCCAACTCTATCTCGTATATCATCATTCCGAACTCGATCCTTCCTCGTGTGGCCACACATCCATCTCAACATACGCATCTCCGCCACACCTAACTGTTGAACATGTCGCCTTTTAGTCGGCCAACACTCAGCGCCATACAACATTGCGGGTCGAACCGCCGTCCTGTAGAACTTGCCTTTTAGCTTTTGTGGCACTCTCTTGTCACAGAGAATGCCAGAAGCTTGGCGCCACTTCATCCATCCAGCTTTGATCCGATGGTTCACATCTTCATCAATACCCCCATCCTCCTGCAGCATTGACCCCAAATACCGAAAGGTGTCCTTCCGAGGTACCACCTGACCATCAAGGCTAACCTCCTCCTCCTCACACCTAGTAGTACTGAAACCGCACATCATGTACTCGGTTTTAGTCCTACTAAGCCTAAACCCTTTCGATTCCAAGGTTTGTCTCCATAACTCTAACTTCCTATTTACCCCCGCCCGACTATCGTCAACTAGCACCACATCATCCGCAAAGAGCATACACCATGGGATATCTCCTTGTATATCCCTTGTGACCTCATCCATCACCAATGCAAAAAGATAAGAGCTCAAAGCTGACCCCTGATGCAGTCCTATCTTAATCGGGAAGTCATCAGTGTCGACATCACTTGTTCGAACACTTGTCACAACATTATCGTACATGTCCTTGATGAGGGTAATGTACTTTGCTGGGACTTTGTGTTTCTCCAAGGCCCACCACATGACATTCCGCGGTATCTTATCATAGGCCTTCTCCAAGTCAATGAACACCATATGCAAGTCCTTCTTTTGCTCCATATATCTCTCCATAAGCTGTCGTACCAAGAAAATGGCTTCCATGGTCGACCTCCCAGGCATGAAACCAAACTGGTTTTTGGTCACGCTTGTCATTCTTCTTAAGCGGTGCTCAATGACTCTCTCCCATAGCTTCATTGTATGGCTCATCAGCTTAATTCCACGATAATTAGTACAACTCTGAACATCCCCCTTGTTCTTGAAGATTGGTACTAATATACTCCGTCTCCATTCTTCTGTCATCTTGTTTGCCCGAAAAATGAGATTGAAAAGCCTGGTTAGCCATACTATCGCTATGTCCTCGAGACCTTTCCACACCTCAATTGGGATACAATCCGGGCCCATCGCCTTGCCTCCCTTCATCCTTTTTAAAGCCTCCTTGACCTCAGACTCCTGGATTCGACGCACAAAACGCATGCTGGTCTCATCAAAAGAGTCGTCCAGTTCAATGGTAGAGCTTTCATTCTCCCCATTGAACAGCTTGTCGAAGTACTCCCGCCATCTATGCTTAATCTCCTCGTCCTTCACCAAGAGTTGGCCTGCTCCGTCCTTGATGCATTTGACTTGGCCAATATCCCTCGTCTTCCTCTCTCGGATCTTGGCCATCTTATAGATGTCCCTTTCGCCTTCCTTCGTGCCTAACCGTTGGTAGAGGTCCTCATACGCCCGACCCCTTGCTTCACCAACAGCTCGCTTTGCGGCCTTCTTCGCCATCTTGTACTTCTCTATGTTGTGTGCACTCCTATCCAGGTATAGGCGTCTAAAGCAATCTTTCTTCTCTTTAATCGCCTTCTGGACATCATCATTCCACCACCAGGTATCCTTATCTTCGCTTCTCCTTCCCTGGACACTCCAAACTCCTCTGAGGCCACCTTACGAATGCAAGTCGCCATCTTCATCCACACATTGTCCGCATCCCCTCCTTCCTCCCAAGGGCCCTCCTTAATGACCCTCTCCTTGAACGCCTGAGCTACCTCCCCCTTGAGCTTCCACCACTTCGTTCTAGCGACTTTAGCCCGCTTATCCCGCTGGACACGAATCCGAAAGCGGAAGTCAGCAACCACCAGCTTATGCTGGGGTACAACACTCTCTCCAGGTATCACCTTACAGTCTAGGCACGCACGCTTATGTTCCCTTCTCGAGAGGATGAAATCAATCTGGCTAGAGTGTTGGCCACTACTAAAAGTCACCAGATGTGATTCTCTCTTTCTAAAGAGGGTGTTGGCTACAATCATGTTGTAGGCTAGAGCAAAGCTTAAGACATCGTCTCCTTCTTGATTCCTGATGCCATAGCCAAAGCCCCCATGCGCCCCTTCAAAACCTGTGTTAGATGTACCCACGTGGCCATTGAGGTCTCCTCCTATGAAGAGCTTCTCACCAATCGGTACACTCCTAACCATGTCTTCCAGGCCTTCCCAGAACTCCCTCTTGGTGTTCTCATTGTGGCCTACTTGCGGGGCATACGCGCTGATAACATTGAGAACCAAGTCCTCAACTACCAGCTTGACCAGGATAATCCGATCCCCACGTCTCTTGACGTCTACCACTCCATACTTGAGGCTCTTGTTGATCAAGATGCCTACGCCATTTCTGTTTGCAGCCGTCCCCGTGTACCATAGCTTGAAGCCGGTATCCTCCACCTCCTTCGCCTTCTGTCCTCTCCATTTGGTTTCTTGGACGCAAAGGATATCAACACCTCTCCTCACCGCTGCATCAACTAGCTCCC